GCCAACGGCCTGGGAGGATGGGACTCCACCCCTTGTAACTCTTCTGAAGTCAAATTTCATATACCCATGTACATAATAATATGCCATTTAGCAGACGCTTTTATCCAAAGCGACTTACAGTCATGTGTGCATACATTTTTACGTATGGGTGGTCCCGGGGATCGAACCCACTACCCTGGCGTTATAAGCGCCATGCTCTACCAATTGAGCTACAGAGGACATCTCTGCAGCTGCCACCACAACATCTATGTTTTTATGATTTAGATTCCATTTCTGCGGTAAAGTTGATAATCATTGCTATGAACGCTAAGAAGCCAACCTTACTGAAGCATTAATCACTCGTTGGCCTATCTTCTTCTTTGTCTTCTTTGTCTTCCTTGTCTTCTTCTTCTTCTATGATATCATGGCGGTCCGCAAACAATCTTTTAAGTGCTGGAATGTACGATCAATCATGATCTGCCCAATTCTGTACTACCATAAAAATAAAAATAAATCCCTACTAACTTCTACCACACCCTCCCCAGCCCCCCTACCCAATTATCTATATCATGCTGAAACACTCCACCCTTAGGATTGTTCAGCATGTCAACAACCATTTCAACAGTAACATGTTACCCCCGATATCTCTTTTGCCGTCTCCACAATAACCTTCAACCTGGCATTTCTGCTTTCCACAACCCGAGTCATATTGATAACCTTCCCAATAAAAGCTATGAAGTCAACTTTATTCATTATCAAAGTGTCCTTTGACATCGCACATTCATGAGCGCAAGATTTCTGAACAGGCCTCCAAACCAGCAGAAACACCAGCCCAGACATTAGGTCCACTTAATACAGGAGCAGCCATGGAAGCTCCATCCTTCCACACTGTAGTTCCACCTATCTGTCTTACAGCCTCTGCATACGATACATCATGACTAATTGTATATCTCTGAGCCTCGTTGGCCTATCCCTCTGTGCTTGCACAAATCTACTACCCACTTGGAACGCTGCTGCTCCTGCTCCTGCTGCTGCTCCTGCTCCTGCTCCTGCTCCTGCTCCTGCTTCTTCTTCTTCTTCTTCTTCTATAATATAATGGCGGTCTGCAAACAAACGTTTAAGGTGCATGCTGCCACCTACTGTGCTGGAGTGTGTAGCCAATCACTGTTTACAACATTACCTCCACATTTCTAAATCCTCCTACCTAACTCTGTACTTGTGAGAAAATAAAAAAGAGCCCTACTAATTTCTAATAGACCCTCCCCCAAATCCCTTCCAAACCCCTTCAACCCCTCTAACCTCAATGACCCTACACTGACTGTAAGTCGCTTTGGATAAAAGCGTCTGCTAAATGGCTTATTATTATTATTATTATTATTATATTATACACTTCAATATTTCCCTCTCTTCAACATACTTACAACAATATAACAACACATGCTTCACTGTTTCATCGACCATACACTCCAGACACAAACCATTCACATGCTTGCCAACCAGATGTAATGACGAGTTCAATGTACTAGGCGCAATCGAGCAAACACCACCTCTTCCTTCCTAATCTGACCTTTGAATCTTGGTCCACCGACCTTTCTTTGGAGGGCATATAAATGCCAGCCCTTGGGCTCAGAGTCCCATCTTTTCTGCCATCATCTATCAAAATGGCTCTGATCTTACATTTGGCCTCACCTCTACCCAGTGGAGCATGAATATCAATTATATCTAGTTCTAAAGCCCTTTTGGCTATCTGGTCTACAATTTCATTCCCTTCCACACCCAAATGGGCTGGGACCCAGCAGAATCTCAATACTACACCCAGTCTCTCGATTCTCCATAATAACATTAATGCCTCCAATAGTAGGTCACTCCTATTAGATTTGCCAGATGTTAAACTATTCAACACAGACAGGGAATCTGAGCATACTATAATTCTGACAGGTTGAACGTCCTCCACCCACTGGAGGGCAACTATAGTACTATCACCAACAGTTCAACTGAGTATACTGACAGTTCATCTGTTAGTCTTCTACATATCTGCACATCAAATTCAGGAACGTAAACACCTGCTCCTGTGCGCCCACTATCTGGGTCATTGGATCCATCTGTGAAAAGCGGTAGAAATGCATAAAAACGTCTACCAATGTAATTGTCAACCAGTTTCCCTATATCACTAACTTCTGACCAATCTTCTATGCCTTGTCTACTAGTATATTCCCAACAGTTTTCTAGAACAGTAGGAGTGGGATGATCAACCTCACAGCCTTTCAGCCTAACCCTGTCTTTGGTCCCATTCGTGTGGGTCAAACAAAAACATTACTTCTTATTTGGTGGGGTTTGACAGTGGTTGGCATCCGATATGTTGCATTACCGCCTGGACTATAGTATCAATCCATTAAACTTTGTGATACAAAATGGGGAAAATTCTTATTAAAATAAACACCATTCCAACTAACCCTACATTAATTAAAAACCCACTACCCCATTCCACTAAATTGACCCTATCTGCTCCTGCACCATGCCAATGGCCTGGGAGGACGGGACACCACCGCTCAACACACCATGTAACCAGTTGTGTAAAGTACTTATGTAAAAATACTTTAAAGTACTACTTAAGTAGTTTTTGGGGGTATCTATACTTTACTATTTATATTTATTTTACTTCACTACATTCCTAAAGAAAATTATGTACTTTTTACTCCATACATTCTGTAGCTCAGCTGGTAGAGCACGGCGCTTGTAACGCCAAGGTAGTGGGTTCGATCCCCGGGACCACCCATACACAAAAAACATTGTATGCACGCATGACTGTAAGTCGCTTTGGATAAAAGCGTCTGCTAAATGGCATATTATTATTATTATTACATTTTGAATGCTTAGCAGGACAGTAAAATTGTCTAATTCACACACTTATCAAGAGAACATCCCTGGTCATCCCGACTGCCTCTGATCTGGCAGACTCACTAAACCCATGCTTCATTTGTAAATGATGTCTGAGTGTTGGAGTGTGCCTCTGGCTATCTGTAAATAAAAAAAACTAGAATATGTGGCCATCTGCTTTGCTTAATATAAGGAATTTGAAATTATTTCTACTTGTACTTTTACTTTTGATACTTAAGTATATTTTAGAAATTACATTTACGTTTGATACTTAAGGATATTTAAAACCAAATACTTTGACTTTTACTCAAGTACTGTTTTACTGGGTGACTTTCACTTTTACTTGAGTCATTTTCTATTTAGGTATCTTTACTTTTACTCAAGTATGACAATTGGGTACTTTTTCCACCACTGCCTGTAACTCTTCTGAAGTCAAATCTCGTACAACCAAGTACTTCTCTGTTGCTGCCACCACAACATCTATTTTCTGTGATTTACATTCAATTTCTGCGGTACAGTTGATAACCATTGCTATGAATGCTAAGAAACCAACCTTACTGAAGCATGCATCACTCGTTGGCCTATCCCTCTGAGCTGGCATAGATCTACTACTCACAGGGATCCTCTCAGGATCCCTCACCCTTGACCCATCCTCCTCTACTTTCTTCACTGCCTCAGCATACGACACCTTCTGCACTACTCTGACTCTGGCCACCTCAACCTGCCTCTCTCGCGTCGGACATTTCCGATCCCCAGCAATTATATTATTATTATTATTTAACACTGGCACCCCTAAAGTTGACACACACAACTTTTTCCACCAAAACTACACACTCCTCTGTCCTATGCCCTCCTGCACACTTCCCACATCTTGGAATCTCCCTCCTGCACACTGCTGCTAGATAAACATGGCACCTGAAACACTGCAGTGGATTCGGCACAAAAGCTCTAACAGGATAACTGATATATTCTAACTTGACTTTGTTGGGTAAAGACCACGCTCCCCACTGGGTCTGCGTCGCACCAAAACGACGGGTGTCACAAACACCAGGAATTTTCAACTTCATTTGCTCCACCTCCACACTTAACTCTACCCCATAAATCACTCCTTTCAATGGTGCTCTGTTCCTAAGAGCAAAGCAAGAAACAGATCTTGACCTGTGTTGCGTGGCACGGAAGAAACACAAACAAACATCACAAGTCCACTTTGGGTTGCGTTCACAGTACCCAACATCTTTTCCATCCAACCTGATACCACATATGGATCAGCCAAAAGGCCTGGATGCACTTTCTCCAAGAATCTCACTCCCACTGGGCCAAACTCATCTTTATCATAACAATGGCAAACAAAAACACACTAATGATTGGTTGACAAATAATGCCTTTCACAATGCAGATTGCTGCAAGTTGCAGCTGGTGAGGAGCAACTGCAGAAAATTGAAGTTGACTGCAGTCGAAACTTCATGATCTTTGATCACATGATTGTTGTAAAGTTCATGCAGTTGACATGTAGGCACTCGTAGGACAATTTTTATCCCTATAATGCAGGGTTTCCCAAACTCGGTCCTCAGGACCCCAGGGGGTGCACATTTTGGTTTTTGCCCTGGTTCAAATAATCAACTAATCATCAAGCTTTGATAATTTGAATCAGCTGTATAGTGCTAGGGCAAAAATCAAAACGTGCACCCCTTGGGGTCCTGAGGACCGAGTTGGGAAACGCTGCCATAATGCAACGAACTTTGAAAGGCTTGACAAAAGTGATCTGCTCGAACGTGCCCAGTTAGGGTCTGGTTGGCTTCTCAAAAGCAACAAGGAGCAGTTGATAGAGCATGGCGTTTGCAACGCCAGGGTTGTGGGTTCCTTTCCCACGGGGGGTATAAAAAATTAATAAATAAATAATAATAATGTATGCACTCACTAACTGTAAGTCGCTCTGGATAAGAGCGTCTGCTAAATGACTAAAATGTAAAATGTAATTATAACGCAAAACATTTCACACTTTTCCTGGAAAAATACTGACGTCACATTATGCGCCGGTATTGAGCAACGCGGGGGATTGAAAAACGTAAACCACAGATTGTTTTGGTCTGTGAAACAAATGTCGCTGTTTTGAGGATAGGTAATTTAGCTACGAGTTCGGCAATATGTTGAAAAGGGTACCCAAGAAAACATTAAAGTCTCTAATGAAGAAGAAAGCCCACATTCGTGTAGGCACAGCCGCAGATGCAAAGGTAGTTTGAAAATGCTATCGTAGTTAGCAATCGTTACTGACAATTCTACTAACTAGCGAGGCTAACGTTACAACATTGTTTTCAAACAAATAGCTTTAAGGTACAGGCAAACATGCAATGCAACTAAACATGCAATACATCTAACGTTTGTTTTGTAACCTAACTAGCTACTGTAGTAAGATAGTTAGCCATCTCAGTTTCATGCCGTCGGTGTCTGAAGCTGAATCCCTCTCAGGTCGAGCTGAACGTGCTCCTTTTTCTGCATATGCTCGCAGAAGAGGCGAGGACGAAAGCTTTTGAGGAGAAATCTGCGACTATCAAAGCACACCACGTCAAAGTAGTATACAAGGTATTGGTTACTGAACTATATTGGGTGGTAGGACACAAAGGGTGCATCTCAATGGTCTAATGCACAGGTGTCAAACTAATTCCATGGAGGGCGGTTTTCACTCGTCCCTTGTACTTGATTGATCAATAAGGTAATTGATAGGAACTCCCCTCATGTGGTTGTCTAGGTCTTAATTAGACACAAATTGAAAGGAAATAACAAAAACCAGCAGACACAGCCCTCCATGGAATGAATTTGACACCCCTGTTCTAAAGGGCCTCCTCTCCTTCATTAGCACTGATCTGAAATAGCCTGGACAGTAGCCCAATATTAGACCTGATTAATTAATGAGACGAGGTGGGAGTGGTTCAAGGAGGAAGATGGCGGAAGTGGATGCTGAGTTCGAATTAAGCAGCGCGTCGAGAAAAGTTGTTGAAGACAAATGTTCTGAATGGACAACAGTAGTATTGAAAACTGGAACCAAAAAGGAAATTGTCTAAAATTGGAGTAGAGGATATGTGTGTAAATGTTAATGAATCGCTTCTTGTTGGGATCCATTTGTTGAGTAAGGATGTGTATGTGGGAAACCCGTTTGAGGTGTCGAAATGGTGAAGTATGCGCTTGGAATAGTGTCAGTGACCAGGAGAGGTCTTATTTTGATTAATTGTATTTCTGAAGAACAGAGGAAGATTGCAGTGGGCCTCAAAAGAATCCGGACAACATAAGTTTTGTGTTTTGAACTTCGGAATATAGCACCCGTCAAAGGAGTCATCTCAGGGGTGACGACGGTTGTTCAGGTGGAATACCTGAAGAGAATTCCTGGTGTGGTTGGTGCCCGGCGTCTGACCCGCTGGGTGAATGGAGAAAAATAAGGAAGTCTGTTGGTCCTGTTGTGTTTTGATAAAGCGCAAATACCTCTACGCATGTGAAGCTTGTTTATGTAAGATACGGCTTAAAGCTTTCGTCCCCAAACCACTGCAGTGTAAGAATTGTAAAGGATTTGGCCATGTTTCAAGTATGTGCAGACGAACAGAGTATACTGAAGAAAGGTGTGTAGAAGGACGACGGTGTTGCAATTGTGGTGGGAATCATGATCCTGAGTTCCTGGAGTGCCCTGTAAGGGTGAAGGAAATTGAGGTGGCAAAAATTGGAGCGGTCATTTGAATCTCCTATGCAGAGGCGACTAAAATAATTGAGAAAACAAGTGATGGTAGTGGATACACCACAGCCTGTAGTAAATGTTTGCTGCCAGACAAGATACCCTGTGTGTTAAAAAGGTGGATTTTGTTGCGTTCATTGCCACAGTTATAAACTGTACAGCACAAGTCTCAAAGAAGTCGAAGAAACTGGACATTATTGTGGCTGCAGCAGAAACGTTTTTGGGACTCAAGGATTTTACATCGAAAGACTTGCAAGGGGTACTGGTGCCGGAAGACCCGCCCTCCCAGGTTCCCCTTGAGGCTGTGTAGGGATCAGATCTGTTTTATTTATTTTTAACAGAAAAGTTGTTTTGATGTATTTATTTTTTGGTAGTGTTTTTGGTAGTTCAGTTTTTTTGGGGAATACTGTTTCCATCCCGCATAGTAGGTGTGTTACGTTCCCCAGTTTCTGTGTTGTGGTTTGTGTATTTTCATGTAGGTATTTCAGGAAATGGGTTCCTGAAATTCCCCAACAAGCAGCTGATTGATTGGATGAACATTGATGATTGGAGAGCTGACCCTGCGCCCTCGTCAGGAGGCAGCTGTCTCCAATTACCAACTCCTCCTGAAGCTATATAAGCCCCAGTTGCTCAGAAAAGGGGGGGAACCAGAATGGCTGAGAGTTACAGAATGTTGGTTGTATGCTAAGATTTTGCTATGTACTGTGTTGTTGTTGCTGTGAGAACCAATTGTAATGTTTTGTGTTAGTTTGTGGCTCAGAGAGTTTCTTTAATGTCCTGAGTTATTTTTTTTCTCAGGTTTTGTTGTGAACCAGTTTGTGCAATTTTGTTTAATTTGTTCCCAAGGGGGGAAGGGGAAGGCACCTAGGGAGTGCTTAGGCAAGAGGCCCGCGGGCATACATTACCCGTAGAGGTATACTGTCTATGCACACTAGGAAAGACCTGGGCGGACCATCCCTTGTATTTTGGTTAGTGCACCAGGAGGTGCTAGTTAAGTAAGTAGTGGGTAGGCAGGTAAGGTAGGAGAGGGGGCTTTGATATTTACTTTCTTTGCTTTGGTTCCGTCCAGCCCCTTTTCCCCAAACTTACCGTGCGAAGGAATAAATTCCCTGTTAACGGTATTCTCTGCCTTTTGTCATCCTTACTCATACTCACACCTACAGTCCCATACCTCTTTCACAGCACGGAGAGTTGAGTTGTAGCAGGGTGTTGCGTTCCCTCTTCCAAGAGGAGTGCGTAACAGGTGGCAGGATGCACATTAAATTGTGTGATCGCCAAGAAGAAGAAGAATGAAACGAGGTCTAAGGGCGTTCCATAGCGACTGTGTTGCCAGGTCTAGGTAAAATGTCTAGCCCAATGACCACTGAAAACCCACCCACAAGGCCTGAAAACTAGGCCCAAAAAATGTTGCTCAGCAAGAGAGTTGCCACATTTATCCAATAGGTGTCTCCATATTACTGTCGTTCTTACTTGCCATGATGTGTGTGCGTGCTGCTCTCCTCTAACTCGTGACTCAGCTTCCTGCTGCAGCGCTCTCTCAATGCACAAAGATCCCTCCGGACATCCCCCTTCCTTCCTAGAAAGAGAAATGCCATGGTGGCTGCGGTGTAATTTAGAAGTAGCTCAAAAACCTGCGACCAATATATTTTCACAACATCATTTTCAAAGTAGCCCAGTTGCAGGAAACCCTGGTCAGATAACTCATGGTCCAATGTCTGTACCTCCTAGCAGCATATGTCCCGCGTCCAAAGCTACATCCATAATCGGTAGACGGTTCTGATTGTGGAATCGCGGTTTGCATTGCCGAGCAGTGAACAAGAAACTATTAAATCCAGCTTTTAGATGCTACCCCCCTCCCCAAATCAAACTGTAATATGGATGCCAATGTTTTGTTCTAGCTTTGCATGCACACATTTCCTTTATTTACCTGCCCGTTTTGTGGGACTCATTAGCTAACAACAGACCGGTGTGAACCACAGACGTGTCTGCGCGCAAAGCGAAAACTAAACATTGGCATCCATATTACATTCTGAGGGTGGGGGTAGCATCTAAAAACTGGATTTAATAGAACCGTTGACTGATTTATGGAATCTAGCTTTGGACTGGGGACACATGCTGCTAGCAGGTACAGTCATTGGACCAGGAGTTATCTCGAACACAGTCACTATGGAATGCCCATAGACCTCGTCTCATTAATTAATGAAATCATTAATCAAACATCTAATATTGAGCTACCTGGACAGGTGAAGCAAATTCCCCTGATAGGGTTTTCAGAACGATGTAAATGAGGCAAGGAGAGGCTATTGAAATGTTGCCATTTTCTTGAATCCTTTATGGACACGGGCAAATTCATGTGGTTGCTGTATAGACAAACAGATATCATGATAGTGAGTCATGTAGATTAATGGATATCCTACATTTGTAGATGTCCTATTCCTTAAGTTAATTTATCACAGGAGAGTTTTATGTTTCATGACTTTGAACATGAAAAATAATGTCATCATGCTACTTTTCAAATTTCAATGAGGTTTTGATTGTCTTTCCTTAGAAACTGCTGAAACGAGCGAGAGGGTGAAGGGGAGAGACCTTTCTACATGATTCAACAACTGATTTACAAGTATTTTATTAAAAGTCACATTGGTCTGAATAATACATTTAATCTGTGTTTTATTTTGAATTTTTATTAGTCTTTACTTTTCAGTCGCTAGTCTTTATCTGTTTGCATTTCATATGTTTTGTCTGCCATTTTAGCATTTGCACAATGCAGAGTATTTTAGAACACTTTTATATGCTGTCCAATTAAATGTTGTGTTCTGTAAATCTATCTTTGGTGTAGACCTAGTTGTCCCTGCCAAGTTCCATCAAGCCTACCAGAAAGTGTGTTTCCTGTCATACTATTCTAGTTCCCTGTCAGAGAAATGTGCTTCTTTGTCTTTTGAGAGGAGTGAGATTCACCCAGCGCTAGAGAGCCCTCAAATTCAAATGTGGACCTCGAAGCTAGTTCCCCTCTAATCAGGGACTGGTTTAGACTTGGGACACCAGGTGGGTGCAATTCATTATCAGGCACAACAGAACCAGCAGTAATCTGGACCTCCTAGGGTAAGATTGGAATACCCCTGGCCTAGAGCCTTGTCCTATCTCAGGCCTCAGTCTTCTTTTTCACCAACAGTTTGTCACGGTGGTCAGAGCCTCAGGCTGAATGCTTCACAGACTGTTCACTAAGCATTGGCCTGCCCCCAAGACTCTTCACGCTACATACATTATCTGCGTGTCGATGTTATCCCACTCATCTTTTATCGCAGGGTTTTCTGAAGCCATGGCACTTGACGTGTGGTATGTGTTCACTTTCCTATCAAATTGCTCAAGCAGACACTTATCTGGTAGTAATCTTAGAGCCCTTTAGGTGGTCTGCTGTAGGGATCTTAAGTTTCTTCATTGTGATAATAATCAGGTTTATTATGATGAGAAGAACATTCACAGAGGACACAATGTCCTGTAATTATACTAATGGACAGATGCATATAGTTTCTTTTTTTACTAAACTCCGCAAAAAAAGGAACGTCCTCTCACTGTCAACTGTGTTTATTTTCAGCAAACTTAACATGAGTAAATATTTGTATGAACATAACAAGATTCAACAACTGAGACATAAACTGAACAAGTTCCACAGACGTGACTAACAGAAATTGAATAATGTGTCCCTGAACAAAGGAGGGGGGGCAAAAGTAAATATCTGGTGTGGCCACCAGCTGCATTAAGTACTGCAGTGCATCTCCTCATGGACTGCACCCGTTTTGCCAGTTCTTGCTGTGAGATGTTGCCCCACTCGTCTAACAAGGCACCTGCAAGTTCCCGGACATTT